AGAGAGAAGTTCAGCTGGTGATGAACCCCAGTAAATTAATGAAAACACTGAGTGCAAATGGGATTTCAGAATGGAGTAAGAGTACCACTGAAAAGATCACTTAGCTCCTCTCTGTCAGGAGGTTTTCTGTTTTGAGATAGGTTACTTATGAAGGAGATGGAGCATATTTTGAGGACCTCAAAACACTTGCCTGTTTTGTTATACTTATCCCCACGAGTGTAAAATCTTCTGCTGTGTTAGATTTCTTTAGCACAGCAGACAGCTGGAAGCTCATAAGGTCACAGAGTCTGTTTCCCCTTTCTGAAGTTTAACTGGCTGATCTCAACTGTCTCCTGGTCTCTTTTCTGTTCCCCAAAAACTTAAATTTCTTTGTGCTTTCAGCAGATTCAGGAAGCGATGAAGACTTCCTCATGGAAGATGATGATGATAGTGACTATGGCAGCTCAAAAAAGAAAAATAAAAAGGTCTCCAAGAAATCCAAGCCAGAGAGGAAAGAAAAGAAAATGCCAAAGCCCAGGCTAAAGGCTACAGGTGAGTCTCTACAAAGGAAGTTGTGCAGTTTGCTTCAGAGGCTAGTGTTTTCTTCTGTAGAAGACTCAGAAGAGATCTTTGGGTCAGTAGGTAGTCACATAAAGTGGCCAAGGGCTAATTCATGTAACGTGGCATGATTTAAAGCCAGACTATTAAATAATTAGGGGGCTTTAATTCTTATTTAAAAGATCAGGTTACTGTCTATGTCTTGTTAACAAAGTTACTCTGTCTTGTTATCTATCTGCATAGATAGCAAAACCTTCCCTTGAGATGCTGTGTCTGACTTGACATACTCTAGCCAAATGAGACAGTTTGTGGCTTCCTTTGGGATTTGTGGACTTTGTGTTGTTTTCAGGGTGGAGGAAGGTGGAGAAATGCAAACCAAAGGCAAACTCGATGCATTTCTGCAGGAAGTCTAAAATTGCAATAGCAATGTATGTACTGGTTTGACAAGAGGCTAGCTTGTTAGTTTGTGATGTCATATCCAGTAATTAGTCAGGACTTGTAGTTAAATAGTTTTTAAATCTTGCTAGCTACCTTTTTAGTTCAGCTTCACTCATCCAGAGTGCAGAAAAGACTGTGGGGATGGGTATGGTCAAAGCAAAATGAAACCTGCTACTGCAGTGTGTTGTAAACCTTGTTTATATGAAGCCATTTTAATTTGCTGTCCTTTTTGTGATCATAACTCTCATCTTCTTCTTCTTTTTCCAGTGACCCCCAGTCCAGTGAAAGGCAAAGGGAAGGCAGGCCGCCCCACAGCTTCTAAGGCAACGAAAGAAAAGACCCCATCCCCTAAAGAAGAGGATGAAGAGCCTGAAAGTCCCCCAGAAAAGAAAAAATCAGCCAGCCCTCCACCAGAGAAGTCAGGGGATGAGGGATCTGAAGATGAAGCACCCTCTGGTGAAGATTAAATGGCAGTTGAGGAAATCTTTGTTTAAAAAAAAAAAAAGAAAAAAAAAGAAAAAGGAAAAGAAAACATACTTAGGGGTAGAACACGGTTTTGGCTGTGGCTTGACTCATGGGCTTTGAATGCTGTCTTTACTTTCAGCTGTTTAATACAGTGTATCCTTTTTTTAATAAGAGGAAACCCTTATACAGTAATACTTTGAAGGCAATGTTCTCTGTTGGCCATTCCGTTCTCCCTCCCCCTCCGAATCTGAAAGCCATTTGAGACAAATTAACAGACCATTGAAATATATATTTTTTTCAAGGGATACTGCAGTTGTGAAGCAATAAGGTTTGAGACTGATACGTGGAAACCATACTTACAAATCGTTAAGTAGACTAGATTTCCCAGTGCTGGTAAGAGTTCTTTAAAACTATTATTCTGTATTTGAATATGTGGAAAAAAGAAGAACCTATGCTTTAACAGACTTTTGTTGATATGAGTTCACTCTCATAAAAAAAAAAATGTAGTTGATAGGAATTCCAGTTGAGGAAGAGGAAACATGGGGAGGAAACCTGTGTTTCTTGCATTCAGGCACGTTTTTTTATGGAAAGCAATCAAGAGACTTGTAGATGGTCCACTGTCTTATTTAGAAAAGACTCTCCAGTTAAGATGTGAGGTCTTCTGTCTCTGTTGGGTAGAGTACTGTTCTGCTTTAGGCAAACTGCTCTTCGTTCTACACCAGTCCAGATGTACAGCCTGCAAGCTTCTCAGATACATTAACTCCTCTTTTATTTCTTCCAAGGTTGGCTGGCTATAGATGGGCAGAATAGGGAAGAGAAATTGAAAACTATTTTTTTAAAACTCTGGTTTCCATTTGGCATTGTGGAAAACGTCTTGAAGGTTTTTTTCAAGGAAAAAACGAACGGGTAGTGTGAACCTAAATTCTTGAGCTTTTGGGGCAAGGGGTGTCCTTCTGTAAATGTGAAGCAAAGGATTCCTGTAGCACTCTGGTCAGTCTCGGATCCCATGAGTCACGCTGAAGTGTTTCTCTTCCCTCCCTCCACCTGCCCTCAGAGGCTGCCTGGTCCTACCTCTCAGCCTCTCCAGCTGCAGTGTCGGCCAGCAGACCTCCATCACTAGTGACATCACCACGATTCCACTTCCATTCCTTCATCCTTCCACCCTCCAGTGAGGGAGGCTTTGCTCCCACACCAGCAGGTCTGCTTTGACCATTGCTCTCCTGCTGCCCCCTGAGCCCAGCCGTGCTCACGGGGAGCAGTGTCCCAGGGTGAAGCTGGGGGGAGGTGGCCTTTGGGAGCAGTGGAGCAGGGCTGTCGTGTCATAAAAGCAGGATGTCCCTCTAAAGGCAAGACACCTGAGATGTGTGGTGGTATGTTCATCTGTTTTTATCAAAGCAGCCATATCCTTTTTTTAAACATTAAAGTACACAAGCCTTGGTTTTCAAACCCTAATACAGAGGCTGCTGCCATGTTTGTTGGTGGAAATACTGAAAACTGGACCTGCCATTTCTCTTTTTTTTTTTTCCTAAACCCTTTGTACTTGCTGTATGTTGTTCACAGTACCTTATAGCTGACAAGCTTTGCTTTTTTTTTTTTGTTTTTGTCACAGAACTACACGTTTTGTAACCAGCCTCTTGAAGGTAACATAAGGCAGCTAATTAGTGGGATTTCTGGTACATATGCCTACCAGATTTTTAATCCTGTTTGGATTTTAGAGAGCTTGTAGATGTGATACACTAATATGACCAGGAAGGACACTTGGCTGTATTGCATAGGAAGCCTGAAGATGGAGAGCACAGTGTGGAGCCTAAAATGTGGAACAGAATATTAATACATCAGCCGAGTGATTGTCTTGTGTGACTCATAGCCATGGATTCTACTGAGGCTGGTAAATTACTTTACCTTGGCTTATAAAAAATTAAGTTCTCTAACATTCTTTACTCTAATGAAACTACTGTTGCCGTTACAATAAAGATGATCAGTGTTTCCATTGTAAATCTTTTTTTTTTAAGTAATTTAATTTTGCAGAACAGCTTAAGCCTGGAGTTGAAGTATCAGTCTTGAAAATCAAGTGGATGTAATCCCCTCTCCTCTCCTCACCCCTCTTCCCACCTTCCAGATTTCTGGGAGAGCAGAGTCTCTTGCATTCCCTCCACTGCTAGTCCAGTGCTTCTTGGGTAATATAGGAAAAGAAATGGCCAAGTTTAGCAAGAACCAACCATTTGGATTAAATTTGGGGATAGCATACACTTGTGAATGTCAGGTCCACATAGTTCTCCTTCAGTCCAGACTATGGTTCAAGCTATTCTTGTCTATTGTGTTCTTAGTGTTCTGTTGGTATTAAAACGTGCAAGGATAATTAAATGTAGAATACCTCTAGCTGATGTGTTCAGATAGCTGCTTCTTTACCTGCTAGACCTGATTTTTTCTGACAAGCATATTTTCTAAGTTCCACTTAAAATATATTTTTTTTTTTATAATTTTTTTCCCTAACATGGTTAATTACAGTTAAGGCTGTGAAAAATGTTGTTTTTTCTCAGTTCAGGTTTTGGACTGGACTCTTTTATGTCTGGCAATTTTGGCCCTCTATCTTACAAAACTGTTCTGCTTTCTCCTGTGTTCATCTCTCATGGCTGTTACCAAAAAGCTGTGTGATGCTTATCTTTGAGTTTGTCACAAGCCCAACACTATGTAAATCCTGTACTACTAGTGGGATTTTGTAACTTTTTTCTATTATCTTACTGTTTGGCTGATTGGTGCAAACACTAAGCCCTAACAATCTCTTGGTTACTTTTAGAAATACAGCAGTTTACATTTTTACAGATAAAATTGTGAAGGTTAATACATTATTTTATTTCAGTACACAACATTTTTCAGTGGCAGCAGTCTTAACATTTAAAAATGTCCTTTTTCATTCATTTCTCTGAAGCATTCTGATTTCTTGAAGGAAATTTATAAAAATGCCTTTCTTGAGGACTGTGAATAGTTCTCCATGGAGCAGAAAGTTTCATTCACAGAAGAAGGCTTTGTAAAGATTGTCCTCTGTTACACAGCTGTAGTTGTGGAGCCTTGGCAGAGAGGTAAATGGATATGTTCCAAAGTTCAGTGGATCTAGTGCCCTGCCCTGCTCTTGTGTGTAAAATGGGGGTTCATAGCTCCCATTTTATGCCCTTTCACACATCCTGCTTCCAAATCCACACCACCACGTTCAGGTTTGCAGTTACATGCCAACAGTGCTGCCTTGAACCAGCCACAGGGCTTGATCAGGAAAAATTTGCAATTTCTGTTGGAATTTTGTACTAAAGATTATTTGCTTCAGTTTCTATTTGATCAACAGGAGAATGCCAAACGCACCAAGGGTTTCAGAGTGGGCCGTGGGTGAGAGCAAGACTTGAAATCAGGGCAGCTGAGATGCTTTTAATTGTGTTTAATGAAAGCAGAAGAGTGTGTGGGGAGAGGTTCAGCACAGCTTGGGTGACTTCTAGGGACCCTCACCGGTGCCAGGGGATGGCTCCTGGGCCACCACAGGTCACAGACTGCCAGGGCAGTGCCAGAAGCTGGGCTTGAATTCCTGTTTTCTTTTTTTTCTTCTTTTTTTTTTCCCCCTCCACTGGTGATGGTCACAAAGGTACAATAGACACTGAGGCACCCAGGTTAAGGAGGGAGGGAAGTAAAACTGTAACATGCTGGAAGCTTTTGAGCTGTAGAAACTGGTGCTTTGCTTTATGTAATTTGTTTGTGAAGTGTTTATTTTTATAACAGATCATATTGTTGAACACATGGTTCTTAAAAATGACAAATTGATCCATGACTTTACTATCTGAGAAGTGGACGTTCATCTGTTGGGGAAGGCAAGACAAGGAAATGTAAGGAGATGGATATTTAAAGGGACACTGTCACAAGTTAGTTGCTGGCATATAGGGTATGTTAGTTTGGGGGGTCACATCTGTGTGTGGAAATTGTATATTCTATATGTATATGATCAAACAGAAAATTTTCCCTAAGCTTTGAATAGTTTCCTACTGTTTTGAGAGGTTTAAATAAGAGTTCTGCTCATGAAACTAGGAAACAAAACTAACTATTCTGCTCTTACTGTCCAAGATGACTTTGTTTTAAAGTCCTGTGAGAAATCCCTGAGCTCTGAGAGATGACAGTGTCCTTCCAAGCCCACCCCAGATCAAGCGCATCCTTCTTTTAGACTTCCCACTTCAGTAGCTGACTGGCATTCATTTGAATGTCTTTTCACTGAACTCTTTCTATTCCAAACAACCCACAGATGTTTCTAAGCCTAGTCCAGCCCTCGCCATGTGCTGACTCTGTATCAACCACTATGGGAAGTGACTATAGACTCTGCCCCTTCAGCCACGTGAATCGAGTGGGTCCATCGGTCTGAGCATGCTCAGTGTGACTGCAAACCACCATTGTGCATATGCTTTGTATATTGGGGCGAGGGTTTTTTATATATATATTTTGGGAGGGGTAGCGGGTGGGATGGAGAAATACTCAATCAGCTTAAGCCAGAATAATGTGTGTAAAAGCCCCTGAAGTATTTTGTGTGTGAGTGCGCGGGTGTGAGTGCGCGCATGGGAGTGTCTGACATCTTTATTCCCTTTGTGTTCTGAAGAGTTGTGAGTTTTACCTTTTTTTTTTTTCTTTTTTTCCTCCCCTGCAGAAGCAGTTGTTACAAAAAAAAAATTGTAAATAAGAGCTACATAATTTTTTTGTTTAACCATGAACATCATGTCACAGCAAACCCTGAATAATCACTTTGAAGGTAGAGGAGACTCCAGGTAGGGCCTTTGGCTACCAGCAAGGCATCTCTCTATGGTATGCAATGAATATTTGTCTTGAGTATTTGCAGTCCCCTGTTGAGCTTTTCTAAAAATTGGGCTCTTTGCAGTTCCCCTCACCATCCCTTTTAATTTTTTTTAACTCTCAAGAGCAGATGGGAAAAGGGGCAGCTGCAAACTGGTGTCCCAGGGGTTGGCAACTCTTGCAATACCTTGACACCACTGAGATCTACCACTTGGTACTAGAAATTCAGTCTGAATGTAACATTAATGCTTTATTTAAAATAAAAACAACACTTTTTTTTTTTTAAAGGGGTTGAAGTGAACATGACTGTTGACCATGTTCGTGAATTTATAGATGCAACATTCATTGGTAGAATTGTGTGATGGTCTTTTGTGCTACTTAATTTTACATATTCCAGTCTCTGTATGTACCTGCAAAGAAAGAGAAAAAAAAAAAATAAATAAAAATAACAAAACCCTGCTTTGCTTTTATTGAAAGGGTTCCCAGGACTGCATACCTGCTCCTGAGCTCTGTTTTAAGTATGTGTATCCTTCGCTTGTATTTTGTATTAAAAAAAAACCACAAGGAAAAAGAACCCTTTACTGTTCAGCATGTTGGAATTGTGTCCCTTCTTTTATTTTCTTCCTT